CAAACAGGGAAACCAACAAGAGACTGTCCGAACGAGGGGACAGGCAGTCTCCCATGCAGTACAAGTTCCCCAATAAACAGTCTATCATACAATCAGCACACGATATCGGCGGCGGTTACCATTGGAACAACGGCAGTAACGGCCACTATCGACACTGGTGCATCTAGAAGTATCATCGCTGGAAGTCTCCTAAGGGATCAACACAGTTTTGGGAGAGTCACACCTACGAGTATGGTCATCTTACTAGCTGATGGTACGACGCAGCACATTTCATACGTATTAGACAGCCAGGTTGCCTTCGGTGATAGGTCTTTCGATCTATCTTTTCTCATCATGGAAAGATCAATTGACAACGTGATTCTGGGTATGGATTTCCTCGCGCAGGCACAGACGACTCTGCGGATCGCAAATTCATCAGTCACAGTTGATCTTCCTGCACAACAGCAGCGTTTCACAACTTTGCTACACACAACTGAGATACCCAACGATGTCACTCCCAAGATGCAATTTAAACAACGACAGGAGTACATTATCCAACAGCAACAGCAGCGCGTTAATCAACAACAACAGCAGGTTACTCAACAGCAACAGCAGCAACTTAATCAAAAGGAACAACAGCAACGCGTTAACCAACAGCAACGAGTGAACCAACAACAGCAACAGCAGCAACAACAAGAACCACTACCACCCATAACCGTCGAAGATCAACAGCAGTCATGTGACTACACCGCTCCGGATCCAATCGCAAGAGAGCATTCATCCAAAGGTACAGCTATCAAAGAATTTCTAGAAGTGGAGCTGGAACAGTTTAACGATATAACAGGCAAGAGCAACGTGGCTTATCACATTATAACCATGAAGGATGACCACCCAGTAAAACAGCGTTACTACCCAAGAAACCCAGCTATGCAGGCGATTATAAACGAAGAAATCGATGAGCTTCTCCGAACGGGGTGCATTGAACCCTCCAGTAGTCCATACAGTGCACCAATCGTATTGGTTAAGAAGAAAACCGGTAAGTGGAGGTTATGTGTCGACTATAGACAGTTAAACGCAAAATCTATCCCGGACGCATACCCATTACCACGGATTAGTCACATTCTGGATCATCTTAGAGAAGCTAAAGTAATAAGCAGCCTGGACCTCAAAAACGGATACTGGCAAATACCAATGCATCCGGATAGCAAGAAGTTTACTGCTTTTACGGTACCAGGACGTGGCTTATTCCAATGGACGGTTATGCCTTTCGGATTACACTCTGCCCCAGCAACTTTCCAACGCGCCTTAGACTCGGTAATTGGGCCTGAAATGGAACCATTCGCTTTCGCCTACCTGGATGATATAATTGTTGTGAGCCGTAGTAAGGAGGAACATATGACACATCTACAAACGGTTTTAAAAAAATTACGTCAAGCCCAACTGAAGATAAATCCGGAGAAATGTGAATTTTTTAAAACCACGATGAAATACCTAGGGCACGTGGTCAGTCAAGAAGGAATACACACAGATCCAGATAAAATTTCCGCAGTACAACAATTGGAACCACCGAAGACTCTGAAGGAGCTGCGACGCTTTCTGGGAATGACTTCTTGGTACCGACGCTTTGTAAAGGATTTTTCAACAGTAGTACACCCTCTTACGTCGTTGTTACGAAAAGGAAAACATTGGAGATGGCAGGAAGAGCAACAGAATGCATTTGAGGAACTAAAGAAGAGGTTAACTGAGGCTCCTATCCTGCAATGCCCCGACTTCTCTAAACCTTTCTGTTTGCAGACTGACGCTAGTGACTATGGACTCGGTGCCATATTGACGCAGCAGCAGGAGGGAAAAGAAGCAGTGATAGCCTACGCAAGTCGACGGCTGAACAACGCAGAAAAAAACTATTCGCCTACCGAAAAGGAATGCTTAGCAATTGTCTGGGGCATTCGTAAAATGCGACCGTATCTGGAGGGGTACAAATTCACTGTCATCACTGATCATTTATCTCTAAAGTGGTTAAATTCTATTGACAACCCTACGGGACGCATAGCAAGATGGGCGCTTGAGTTACAGCAGTTCAACTTCACGATAGAATATCGCAGAGGTAAATATAATGTGGTGGCTGATGCGCTATCAAGGCAACCAGAGGACAAGATCTTAATGGCACGAACAACGATGACAACGACGAAACAGGATTGGGTAATCCAACGGAAAGAAGCGGTTAAGCAGAATCCACAGAAATATCCGGATTATATCATCGAGAACCAGAACCTATACCGACACATTCCGAATTACGCCCAAGACGATGACATAAAACCATGGAAGCTCTGCATTCCCTTACACTTGAGACAACCGGTCCTTCGTGAAAACCATGATGAACCGACGGCGGGTCATTTCGGAATTCGCAAAACAAGGCAACGAATAGCTAACAACTACTACTGGCCTGGAATGTTAAGAGATGTTCGTAAATATGTTCTGAGTTGCGATTCTTGTCAAAGGTTCAAATCCAGTCAACAAGCCGCTGCCGGACATATGCTTACTCAGCTCGCTGAAGAACCTTGGGCCATGGTGTGTGCAGATTTTGTGGGACCATTACCCAGGTCCAAACGAGGCAATAATACACTACTGGTTTTCATTGATAAATTTACAAAGTGGGTGGAGCTTATACCTTTGCGCAGCGCTACTACAACCTCCGTCCAAAAGGCATTCCGAGAACGAATAATGGCTAGGTTTGGAATACCGAAGATATTCATTACGGATAATGGGACCCAATTCACCAGTCATGCAGCACGGAAATTCTTCACACAGTTAGGAGTCAAACAGCAGTTTACCGCACCGTACACGCCACAGGAGAACCCAACCGAGAGAGCCAATCGCACGATTAAAACCCTAGTTAGCCAACTCACCGAAGGGGACCAACGTAACTGGGACGAGTACTTACCAGAAATAACCCTAGCCATTAATTCAACGGTTTCAGAAACAACCGGATTCACGCCAGCTTATTTAAATCACGGACGCGAACCAAGACTGCCCAACAATATGTACGATAAAGTGACACCCGGAAATGGAAACCTTAAACAAGACCTGAGCGATAAAGCAACAAAGTTACAGGATGTAATAACTCTAGTCAAGCAAAATACTCGTTGCGCAGCCGCGGAGCAAGCCAAACACTACAATCTTCGACGCCGGAATTGGAAACCAGCCGTGGGAGACAGCGTTCTAATGAAGCAACATATCCTCTCTAAAGCAACTGACCATGTGGCAGCTAAACTGTCACCTAAGTTTAGTGGACCTTACAACGTGAAAGCATTCAAGTCTCCTGTGATTGTAATACTTACAAGTAAGGACCGGAAAGGCACCAGAACAGCACACGTCAGTGAGATCAAGCCATACATCAAAAGCGAGTGGGGAGGGGAACAAAAGCCTACCTGATTTGCCAAATGAAAACACAACAGCGATACGCTCTTACTCTCACGCCCTAATAAGTACAAGCGGTAAGACATAGGGGTGATTAATATGGTGTTTCTTTCATTTCCATTACAGCAACTACACCAAGACTCATAAATCCAATAAACAAAAAAAAAAAAATGCGAAGCCAACGATTTGAACGAGCTAATGTCAAGGACAAGGTAGGGGATAGTACCGCAATGTCGAACACTGAACCAGAGTTAGGCGCTAAAGAAAAATGGGTCGAGCTTTGCCGTGAACTTTTTGGCAGCGATTCTGAAGAGGAGTGGCCATTACCGCTAGGAAGTGAACCGATGGCAACAAACAGTAAACAATCAGTCACACAATCCGAAGTGGCGCCAAAACTACAATCAATTCCTAGGCAACAAGGAGTAAAGCCGCCCTCAATCCGACCGAAGACCTGGAGGCCAAAAAAGTCAGCAAAACCGGTGCGCCCCACAACAATACCCATGCGGCCAAGCCTTGAAGCACTTCTCCAGCAACAGCAGCAGTGCCGTTTAGAACGGAAGCAAGAATCGTTTAAACCAGTGGTCGAAGTAATGATGCCAATGACGTTTAGTCCACCAGGAAAGCTAGCTACCTATCCGTCAACATCATCAATAGCCAAGTCCCCGGTAAAGCAGCATTTTGAAGAACCAACAGAGGCTGAGGAGTCATCAATAAGAGCTTTAACACCAACAAAGCTGCACTCACAAGTGGTACTGACTGGCTGTCCACCAACACCACCCACAGCCAAGAAAATCCTAGCGCAGGTGTATAACGATAAACCAACTCCAACTTTCGAACCGGCCGTGAAACAATACCTGCAACCCGAAGAGATACCGGCAGCTGTTAGCACTGAGATACAACAGAGAGTAGTGATTTTCAACAAAAGAGGCAAACAGAATTTTCTAACTAAACACAAAGACCGGGTCTATCAAATTACCATGAGGAAGTCAGGAAAAGTAGTGGTCGCGCTTTTACCTTCGGGGAAGTAGGGAGGGAGTGTAAGGCCCAAATTTTATTCTAAAATTTAACCCCACAAATCAAATGAATAGTCAAATATGAGTTTTAAATTCACTTAGTAAAAACATGTTTCTAAATTCAATAAAATTTTCCTACAGTAACATCCATTTTTATTATAAACAAATGACCCTGTAAATTTCATATTAGAGACAAACATTTTGTATAAACGAATGACCCTGTAAAGTAAAATATGTTTTGATTAATTTTTTTGCCGCTAATAAAAGTTAGTTAAATTTGTTGTAACTATTTCACTTGTTTGTCTGCATAAACAAATTTAAGAAAATATCGTGCACGCATTTTTTATATGATGCAGTTATTTTATTGAATTTGATTGCAATGCGTACAACAATAAGAAATTTGTTTTGACAAATTTACGGGACCTTGTTTACTTGAAGATAATTTTTGTTTTTGCCTGTAATGGAGGGAATTTCAAATAAAAGGGCAGCGAAATTGCCAAATCGTTCTATTTGGAATTTCTCCTGTTACAGGTAAGAACTATTTTATTAGGGATGATAGTGGGAGCTCGGACTAGTTGGTCCAGGCATATGTTGATTCGTTTGGCCATTGCTGACGATCACCATGTGAATGGATGAACTAGTTTGGGTGAAGTGATAATGGTTGAATTACCTTCTGCTTGGCTTATGCTGGCGTAGGGTAATTTAATCAGTTGAGTTACCTTCTGCTTGGCTTTTGCTGGCGTAGGGTAATTTAACTAGTCATCCAGACTTCCATTTGGCCATAGCTGATGGAGGAATGGGCGACGAGTCACCAACACTGTAAGAAGGCGTGTGGACAACGAGCGTTTGGCAATTGCTGACGGACGTGGCCAGGCGTAACAGTAGGAAGGAACCCTTGTCTGGCTTTTGCTGACAAAGGTATTGCTTTATATTGATATTAGAGTTTCTAGAGATTAGCTATTTGGAATTTCTCCTGTTACAGGTTAGCAACTTGCGCACCACTGCAAGCAATCGTCATACGACATTTCACAACATTCTACACCGTTTACAACATCGTGACAGCGTTTATGACATCATACAACATTTCACAACATCCTACACCGTTTACAACATCGTTACAACATTTATAACACCATACAACATTTTACAACATGCTACACCGTCTACAACATCATTACAACATTCTACATCATTAGCAACATTTTCAACGTCGCTTTCCACAAATTGATTATATTTTCTTATTTTTTTGTTAAATAATAAACGCTACTTTAAACAGAAGTGTCTCTATTATTTTACTTAGATAAATTTTCTTATAACGAACCCTGGTATACTCGCTGAGTATACCCCAGCTATAGATAGGGCCGGGAAAAGGTCGTTACAGTTGAAATGTCTGAAGTATGAAATGTAAGTTTTTATTTAGTATTTACTTAAAAACTTAAATTTAATTCTATAGTAAATAAATGGAAATTGCAGATTTTATTAGAATTATCGAGCAAAACTGACTTCTCCATTTTCTTTTTAAACACTAGTCCAAGTGTATTAAGCTCAAGGGATGAAGTGCATCAGCATGGATATAGTGGAAATTTTATGGAAACGATCAATAATTGTTCCGTTAAAGATTATTAAATTGGTATTTGCGCATAAAAAATACAATTGCTATATATTAATTATGTTTCATATTTTAATAGATTTGTTAATAAAATCCAATCAGCAAATACAAAATAACCGTGGTGGTCACAATTGAACGAGAGCAATGAAGGAAATTTACATATTTTTATGGTATATGGCAAATATAAATACTTTTCGCGAAATTGGTATTTGTTTTGGCATACCAAAAGCGTCTGTATGGAGAATAATTAAAAGAACTAGTGTTTAGAGTATATCAATTGCAAAATTTCCGTTCGTGATTGACAGCACACATGTTAAAATAAATGCACCTCACCAAAGCAATTAGGTTTATTTCAAAAGGAAGCATGAATATAGCTTAAACTTGCAAGCAGTTTGCAATGGTTTTTTTATAAACGTGTATGTTGGATAGCCTGTTTCCTTATGTATTATTCTGTTTTAATTAAATAAATGTATTCAACTTAATGTTTATATATTCATTTCAAATTAATTGATTTTCATAAATTATAGATTTAGATTTGTTTATAATTTTACTACACCGTTGCATCGCATTGCCAACCTCATTTGCATTAAAATACGTTCCACTTTTATGTTTTACATACATTCCACATTGAACCAGAAAGTGAACCAGATCAATTGCTGGTTCACCCCATTGTTTTTGTTTTGCATGTAAAATTGAACGGATCATGTTTGCTGAAACGCAGCTATTGTAAAGTATTAACTGCAGTAATGAGAAATAAAAGAAACTTGATTCTATGAATACATTTAACATACATATTATGGATTAATTCTCCCATATCAAATTCAGCGAACACAGTTTCCAATCATACCCCTATTTGCTATTTCCATCAAAAAATCCCAAGGGCAAACATTTGATGCGGTAGGTGTTTTGGTGAGACGATTAGAAGAGTTCGTTTATTTAGCGGATTAAAATTATATATATCTAATGGCAATGGTCAAGAAACTTTACTTTATGATAACAGAGTGTTTACAAAGAATATTATACACAAAGAAATTCATCTAAACGTTAATTTCATCCTATGGCATCTTTTTATGTATTTTACATGGAAAATTAATTTGGATTTTTTAATGTTTTTTTAAATGGATAGCTATTTTAAAATGTTTAGTTTTTTTTATTACATTAGAACAATCTAGCAAAATTATTAACTTGATTTTTGTATGCCATTTGATATTAATTTCAACTTTAACAAGTTTAAGGTTTTTATATGGAAAACCTAGTTGGTTGTAGTACGCTTTATTTTTCTCATATATATATTTACATAGAGACATAATAAAAATTTAAAACAAACTTTCGAAAAATCTGCTGTTAAACGTCTTATTAACATCCAATTTAGCATAAAAAATAGCACTGAATTGTTTTCTATAGTGGTTGATATTGAACCATTGACTAAATACCAGCAGGCCGATTCCACTAATCGCTATCGCTAAAACTCCATCGCTAAAATTCTTTAAATGCATTTTAGCGATTTCTGCGATTCTGCTAACTCGTTACGCTTAATTTCTATTCGCTAATTTTCTCAACTTTCAAAAACAGCTGATTTTTCCGGACAAATCGCTAAATCTCCAAATTTCATATTCTGCTAAATTGGCAATCGCTAAATTTCGTTAAAAACTACTAAAATTTCTCCTAATTTGATTGTTTTTGGCGACTAGGTTTTTGGTGTCGCTTAAAGTGAAAATATTATTTTTTAAACAAATTGAGCAATTATTTTGTACGTATTTAGTGTAATATTCATATTTATTTATTAATTAAGTAATTGTGATAGAAATAAATTTTGCATTTAAAGTAAAAAGAAAAAAAAAATTAATATTACAAAAATATTGTGGCAGTAATATAGTGAGAGTGCGTTTGGTGTTTAGCAAATGTAAACAAATGTATTTTATTTTTCATATTTTCATTTTTGTACCAAAAACAAATGAATTCCAAGTGAAACAGTGAACAAAATGAATAATTATATACATATTAATACATATAAGATTTAATATACTTTATTTATTATTTAATTTTTAGATATTTATGATGGAGTTCGTAGATTTAAAGTCAAAACGAATAAGCAAGGAGCAGAAATAAGACCAGCGTCCAGCATATGGAAGAGCATAAAGATTTCGCTCATGACAAATTTGTGTTAGATCATGGTGCGCGAAGTCTTAATGAACAGTGGAGCTCTCTAGCTGCTATTTTAAATGCCGTTTTTGGAGCAGTTAAAGATGCCAATGGTTGGAAGAAGGCATGGGTCAACATGAAGTAAGTAGTTAAAAATTAAAATAAGATATGTTAACAGTTAATAATATATGTATATATATATATAAAAGAATTATACATAAAAACATGTAAAATAATATCGTTGCTTTTAATTTTATAGTTGTAGAAACTATATTGTAAAATTGTAAATAAAAAAACTCTATTGTTTAATTTTAGATCCAAAAGCAAGAAAAAAGTGCAGGACTATAAACATGCAATGGGACTGACTGGAAATGCGTCCGTGGGCATTAAGGATTTAACTGATCTAGATGAACGGATTATTGCAGTAATGCATCCAGTAGCGGTGCAAGGCATGGAAGATGTCTGCGAGCCAGCAATGCACTTTGAAAGTGACATTTCAGGCTGTTATGATTTAGAGGTAAGTATTAGAGGCGAATATTATCGCTTTTATTTTTTATATAGTTTTTAATTATTAATCTAATAAATGTTTAATTTAAGTGCCTTGAGGAGGGAAAGGAACTGCCAAGCGGTTCAGGTCCATCTGTTGGGGGTAACGATGAGGGTTGTGTGCCTATTCGACCTATTCGTCCAGCCAAGCGACGAAAGCGAAATCCCTCATTAGAACAGACCAACCAAAAGTTCGTCGAGTTAGAGGAGAAAAGGTTGAGGCTTGAGGAGCGTCGACTTGAGCTGGAGGAAAGAAAGCTCAAACAAGAGAAGGAGATTGCGGACGAACGCGTGCAAGCCACTAAAGAGCATACAGATGCTATAAAACTGTTAGCGGATGCACTTAATAATTCTAATACATAGAATAGCATTAATGTAAGCTTTTTATGGTGGATAGGTCTACGGGGGAACCAGCCATATAAAATAATTTGGTTAACACATTATGTGCAATACCTCAGGAGTGATGTGGAAATTTGTAACGACACTTTTTGGTGACGTTCAAAAATATTTAGTTTTTGCTGGGGTATCCTCAGCCGTCGTCCAGAGTCATTACAATGAATTTATATTCGCGGGACGTAGGTGTTTTTTGTTTTAAAAAAAAAAGAAAAGAAAATTAAACGTTCGTTTACTAGATTGAATTGTATAGTTTATTTACTTTGAAAGACAATATTCCAATAATTATTCCAACATATGATAAAGTTATTTCAATTAAAATGTG